GCCATGTGAGACCTAAAACAAGAACCTGGCCCTGTGACATGATGATGCTGCCTGTGCATCAGCATGCATGAGACCTGAGTTCAGTCCTCAGTACCAAAAACTAAAAAATAATAAGGTGGTCTCAGCATAGTCATGTGTAAAGAGTAACATGAACTGTATACCATGATGCTGACAGCTTGGCACACGTCTGAAATCTGGAACAGTCACTTTCTGAATGCTCTGTGCTTCTATCAGATCAGACATGCGCGCACACACACACACACACACACACACACACACACACACACACACACACACACGCATATGTCCATCCTGTGATTCCTCTGGCTCTGGGTTCCTGAGATCATTCTCCTTATCCACCTGTCAGTACACCCTACAGAAACTGGCCCTTTTTCCCTGAGGATGAACAGCAGCTCTCTGTATGTGGCATGTGGCTTCGTCACCAAACTGCCACAGTCTCTCCTGGACAGTTTCCTGAGCCTCCTGCACCGATCTCTCCTCTACGCCAGACCATGTGGCTCTTTCCTTGGATTCTTCAGCCAAAAATCACAGTCCTCCACCATTGCCAGTCCCTTGGGATCCCATCTAACTCAGCTGTCACTGAATTCATCCCATAAGCGTGGTTGGAATCCTGCCTTGCCTAACCCTGTGTCATGAGTCTCATGCTCTTTAAGGACCAGAGTCCCCATCTATTTGTGAGGATAGATGTGAGTACTTCAGTAGGCCCTCACTCTGTCTTCTCCTGTGAGCAAAATGTCATGCACACGGACATGACCAAATGAATAGATAAGGGTGGGCTCACCTTGAGTGAAAACATTTATTTCATTTTTCCTGCAGGTGTAATCTTGCCCCTCTGATAAGCTCGGACAATTGGTATGCTCCAAAAAGTCAGCATCAGGGACTGGGAAGATGGTTTGGGGGGACAAAGTGCTTCCCATGCAAGCAGGGGACCTAATTCATGTCCCCAAAATCCACATAAGGAGCCAGGCACGGCAGTGCGCACCTGTTATCCCAGTGTTCAGCAGGTAGAGATAGAATGGACCCTGGTATTTGCTGGCAAGCCAGTCTAGCCAAGTCAGTAAATATCAGGTTGTAATAAAATAGGGTAGAGAGAGATTGAGAAAGACACAGATGCTGTCCATCCTCTCACTTACACACACACACACACACACACACACACACACACACACACACACACACACAAGCCGGCTGATGCAGGCAATACCAATGCTGAGTGCTAGATGCTCATACACTGAGAAGCCTAAGCAAGTGAACCCAGTGACCTCCTCACTCAATATGTATTCCCTACTGTCATCTTCAATAAACACATTTTCCGTGGATGAAAATCCTTCCAGTTTGAATGTATTAGGACCCCATGACTTGAGCTATAGGATCACAGAGGAATCACAGCCCTGTGAATAATTATTTACCAAGTTGTAGTGAGTCACTTGCCCTGGGCTATCTGGGTTTCCCCTTTTCTCTTGAACAGGAATCTGCCCCGCTGATGTGACTGGCGTACAACGATGCTGTGATTGCTCTCACACTAAAATCCATTTCCTCACTACTGTCTGCTATGTACAGTATGATTGAATGTTTTCCATTTTCCAACATGCAGATTTATGCACATGGGAAAGAAGAAAATCAAGTGTTGGAACCTACATTTTGCTTCACATTTATTCCTGGATGTTAGCAGTGCAAAGGATACATAGTGGCTTTTATACTGAGGAACCAAAATCCCTCAAGCGAAGAGCTGAAGGGTTTTAATAGCCATCCCAGATGCTGACTCCATGGTAGCCAGACTGCGTGACTTTCATTACTATGACCAGAGTCCCAAGATTCACACAGAACTGTCGACCTGGATCCTAGTTGTGCCCCTCTCCCAACCCCACTTCATCCACTTGCTCTCTAAGACTAGAGAAATGGGTTGGAATTCCGGGGACACTGCTTCTTCATTTCCTAAGAGAGAAGGGGGAAAGTCGGTGGAGGAAGTTGGTTGGAGACAGTAGCTTAGAGATAACGCCCATCTCTCTGTGAACACAGAACACAGGAGAGTGACTGGAGACTTTAACGTGCTGAGTGCTTAGCAAGCAACTCCACAGGCGTCCATCAGGGTCCAACCACGGAAGCCCTCGATTGCAGGAGCAGGATTGACTTACCAGGCTGAATCTCTGCCAGGGTAAATGAATGGGAAACAGTACTGAATGACCTTGAAGAGCTTATGGCTCTTTACTTCACTGTACCTCGGTACGAGAACCTCTGATGCCTGGTAAAAGAGTAAACTCCTAATTAAAATGACAAAATTGTATTTGAACTCTGAAGACCATGAGAACTTTCTAATTGCCTCTTCTAATGTGTTCTAAGATGCAGATTCACAACTATTAATGGTTTGTGGGAGGGGGAATGTCCATTACATTTTGTATTAACAATAAAAACACTTCCAAAAATACACATAATGGAAATGATTACCTCTCGCCTTGGCTAAGAGGCACTTAACCTTTGATCTCTAGCTAAATTACATTACCCAGAGGCAGCGTGCACACAGCCAGGAGCTTGTTTCCTTGGGTGTTGTTTTGATAATATGTTAAAATAATTAGTAAATTTTTCAAAGTTCTCCTAAGGATAGTTTCTTACAGATCAAGGCAAAGCGGGGATGGTGGGGGCGGGGGGATATTAACTTTGGCGAAGACAATAGAAAATACAAACCACCATTAGCTTGGTTCTAGTTTTCTGTTCATCCTTCCTTACAGGAAACCAATGATAGGAACTAATTCTTCAGTGCCTTTTTAAAATGTTGCATGGTGAAATTATGAATGATTCCTTTTCTCAGAAAACTAGTGTTCATCTTTACATTACTGTAATCATAAATGCAAATGCAGACTCCTAAACCCAAAAGCTTGCATGCTGCAAGTCCTAAGCGTGTTCATTCAGCCCAGCTGAGTAATTTACTTTCATCCCACTCATGTTATTTCCAACTAGCTCATCAAATGGTGAGCCCATGAAACAGCTCAGCAGATAAAGGTGCTTGCCTGCCGTGAAACCTGATGATGACCTCAGTTCAGTTCCTGGAAACCATATGTTTAGAGGAGAGAACTGACTTCTGCAAGTTGTCCTCTGACTTCTACATGCATGTGTGGCATACACATACACACGTACATGTACACACACATATACACAAGTGTAATTTTAAATGGAGCTAGAGATTAAGAGCTCAGGGATTAACAGCACCAGCTGCCCTTGAAGAGGACGCAGGTTTGGTTCCCAGCACATCCATGACAGCCCACAATCCCCTGTAACTCTAGTTCCAGAGTATCCAGTGCCCTCTTCTGGCCTTCAAGGGCATAAGGCACATACACGATGCACAGACATACATAGAGTCACTCATAGGCATAAAATGAAAATAAATCTTTAGCTCATCAAATGTAGAGGTCTTCTGGACCTGGATCAGATGGCCTCTCTTTGGCGGTGTCTTAGCCTGCCTTCTGCTCCTGTGACAGAGGGCCACCTACTGATCTTCTCTGCATGTATGTCCTGCCCAAGGCTAAGCAAGGTACATGGTTCCTTCTTTGGGCTGCTTCACTCAAACCCTAGGCCAGACCTCGTCTCCACTAGTCCTCCCAGAATTTAAGAACTGGAATTTTACTCTCCCATCCCCCCCACAAAAAAACAAATGGGATGGGAAGAGATGTTTGTGAGCATTTCCCAAACTGTGTCCCAGGATTTCATGATGTGTTCCAGATACAAATTTAAAAAAAAAAAAAAATCTCAGTCATCCCATGCTGTAAACCTCTTAGGAAGTCATGGAGCATATTACCTGACTAGGGGTTCTAAGAACTGTCTTTTAATTCTTCCAGAATTTTCTAAGTTGCTTTAACTATAAAATTCATTTTCTTCCTTCTTTCTTTCTACATCCCCACCCAAGACATTCTTTTCTGCTTCTCAGAACGTGAGTTCCAAGGCCAAAAAAAAAAAAGCACATATTTGAATATCCATCACACCACACTAGCCTGGTGTGTTTACATGGGCCCTAGAAAGTAGCCTTTCTGTCCATCACCTGTGTTTTGGTTTGCTGAGGTCAGTAGCAGTTCTCAGCATATATCAGCTTTCCATTGAAATGGTGGTCACCTTTCTTCTTAATCGTGCCATTTAGAGGAGGAAAAAGATCCTTCCAAAGGACACTGGATACATGTTGTCTGATAATCACAAGGACAAAGATTATTGAGAATGCCACCCACTCGAGGGTGAGCTGACCCTGGTGCTGGGAAATCTAAAATTACATTTCCCAACTCCATCAACAGTCCAGTGCAGAGAAGGTCGGATTCATCGGCTAGGTTTTTAACTTCGTTGCTCCAGCCGATGAAAAGGTTTGTTGTTCAAGGATATCGCTTATAGCCTGAGGTTTGGGACTAATTTGGTTTGAATGTGAGCAGAAAGATAAATACACTTACATTCTTCCTCGAAACCCTAGAACTAACTTTACAGATCATACAGTAATGAGCCATACTAAGGATTTGCTTCAAAGATTTTTTTTTTAATTTCGTGAAGACTGTCCGAGGCTGGAGCCTATGAAAACATCATTCATTGATTGAGCATCGTGTATGGGAAAAAGTAGGAAGCCCGGACAAGGTGGAAGCTAGCTAGCAAACCCAGGTCCTAAATGCAGAGTTTGTGGTGTAGTCTGTTTCTTATTAGCATGTCCCAGCAGTGAACAGGAATTTTCAGCAGGAAGGACCTTGGAAGGCTCCAGACACCAGGGAAGGGCTGCAGGGAAGAGGCAGCCTCCCGCCAGTCTTCCTCAAAGTTTCTGCAACCACGTTAAGAATCTGTGGGGCAGGGAACACAGCCAACGCCAGATGTTTCCCACTCACACCCTTTTGCCCATTCTGTAGCCATCTGGCATCCTCCCAAAGGCAGGCCTTTCTTATTTTTATTTTGCTTTGTCTTTTCTTTTTCATATCTAAAATCTAAGACTTTAATTTGATGAAAGAACTGCAAATATGATCCACAATAACATCCAAAACTTTACTCTGAGACACTGTCCACAGCTTTCCACAAACTCTGAAATGGTCTTCTGTTCTCTTTTTACAGCTTTTCAGCAGTTAGATTCATGCTTTTCTTTTCTTGAGATGGTTGAGGTCCATGCGTTCTCAGGCCACCCTCTCTCTGCTTCCCTTCATGATGTTGGATTTCTACCTTGCATCTCAAATCTATGTCTGATTTTAGGTCTTGGAGCTTCTGCATGAACCAAGGGATTGATAGTTTGTAAACTACTAACCAGTCTTTTTAGAAAGGAAATAATTCTGTCTAGCCATTCGACTACATTTTAAAGGCCTCGTAGGCGTGTGATCATCACAGTTATTGTCACACAACTGCTATTTAGTCCAAATTTCTTCGAATATTCTGTTGGCCCTTGGTTTTCGTTAGTCTTATACAGATATACTTCACTTTCTAAAATGACACATTTTGCTTATATTTTTGGCATTGACTTCTCAGGTTTTTTTTCCTTTGTTAGTTTCATCACCCATTGTTAATTCCTAGCTACAGTGTAAATACTTAGTGTTTTTAAAAGTGCTTTTTCATTGTGATAATTTTATGTCATTTTCTAACAAGGGCTGACGTGTCCAAAGCCTAGGAACTATTCTAGGGACCACACATGTAGCTCAGTTGGTAGAGCATGTGCCTAGGCTGCGCAAATCCCCGGGTTCCATCCATACAGGTGGGATGGCACAGGCCTGTAACCTCAGCATTCCGGGGGTGGAAGATGAGAAATTCAAAGTCCTTGCAGCAACATCGCAACTTCAAGGCCAGCCTGGACTATATGAGACCCTGTTGCAAAAAAAATAAAATAAACTAGATAAAAATAAGATAAAAGCCTGGAATGGTGGCATACATCTTTAATCCCAACACTAAGGAGGCTGAGGCAGATCTCTGTAAGTTTGAGGCCAGCCTGATCCTGGCCAGCTAAGGCTACATAGTGAGACCCTATCTGAAAAAAGAATGAATCAGTAATAATTGTTCTGATATAATATAAAAAACAATTCCTCATTTCAAAAAGTAAATCTTCTTCTTTGTTCCTGATCGTTTTAATCTCTTGTCAGCTCTGATACTATCAGCATCATGTTGCATCTGAAGTGTTTAATGAAGAATCGCACCAAAGCAAGTTAGTTTTGCTGCTGTGTCCCTGTGTGTGCTGACGTTATTGGTATTAACATTCCTTTTCCTTCTTTCTGGGGTGTGTGTGTGTGTGTGTGTGTGTCAGAAAAGAGTTTTATGGTGCTTGTATCAAACCCACACACTTACGCTTCCAAGGCAAGACATTCTAGCAACTGAACTAGATCCCTGGTCCTATCATTTATCTTCTTAAACCACCTAGCCCCTTAATTAATTTAGAGAAAACTCTTAAATCATCAAGAGAAACAATTTTTGCTGACTTCCACAATCTGAAGCACACCAAAGTGAATGAACATGAGTTTGAGAGTGGGACCCATGGTGCTTTTCCACTGGGACTGTAATATAGTTTCGTGGAAATGGTAGCTGAAACAACATAGAGGTGTCGTTGTAGCATATTCAGTGGTCAGATGTCTGATGTAGTCCCAGGAGACAGAAAGCATCATGGCAATGGGGCTACATTCCTTCTGGAGGCTCTCAGAAGAATCCCTTTCGTGGCTCTTCCCACCTTCTAAAGGCTGTTGAATTCCTAGACTCATTGGCCTCTTTCCATTTTCAAAGCCTGCCACAGCCAGATGAGTCTTGATGCATTACTTTGATGGCAGCTCTCTGGCCTCACTCCTTTCATAGCTGAGGCTCCCTGAGTTGAGATTAGGTCCACCCCTACAATCCAGGATCTTCTTCCCATCTCAAGATCCTTAATTGCTTCTGCAATATCCCTTCTGCTAGATAAGATGACATTTACAGTTCCTGGGATAAGCCTTGAACATCTTTGGAGTCTTTACTCTGATTTCCATAGAATGTCTGGCACATGTACTCTATGAGGATCCGAGCCCCTGAGCACCGGGTAGGAGGTAAACCAAATTAGAACCTGACAGACGATTTTCTTTGATCTTGGCCTGCTGTCTGTTCCTTCTGAGATAATTATTCTCTGGTTCCTTGGTGAAGGCCTGCAAGGGAAAAGTAAAATTGCAGAGAAGAAACACTTTCATGTAAAACCCTCAGGGCTCTCCAGCATGGACATAAAGGAATACTGCATTTGCTCTATAATCTACTAAAATGAATAAAAAGATGGAATACTATTACCATCATTAACATATTCTTTAAATAATACTATAAGGGGCTGGGGAGATGACTCAGTGGATAAGTACACTTGCCATGCAATCAAGAGGACCTGAGTTTGAATCTGCACTACCCACATAAAAGCCAAGCATGACCATGTGTGCCTGTAACCCCAGTGTTAGGGGAGCAGAGGTAGGCCTATCCTAAGAGCTCTATGGCCAAACAACCTGGACGAAACAGTGAGCTTCATGTTGAGTGAGAAATCCTGTCTCAGAATATAAGGTGGAGCACTATAGAACAAGACACTAGTGCCCTCCTGGAGTCCACCACTTACACACCACATATGTAGCCACAAACACCAAAAGCAGCAAAAAGATATAACAACACGGACAATGTGCTTTGCTATAGTTTTCAAAATAATTGCATGAATAGTCTTTCTCTACACTTCCTTGGTCGCTGTTAGGACTTCCTGGTGCATTTTTAAAAGGGCCTCATAGTTTACTAACATGATCAGGCCTCCAAGAAATACCTTACACGGCTTCCCCATGCTGTCACATGTCATCAGATAGTGGCAGGGACCTTGGAGCCAGTATTTGACATTATACAGAGACCTCTGGGTTCCTTGGTTTGTGCTCACCTAACATTGCAGGTGTTGAGGCTTTGCAGCATGAGACTGAAGAGTAAAGAAACTCACTTTGCTATGTCCCCACTTCCTTTCTCTCAGTTTCCTGATGCATCCAGCTTTAATTCCATTTTTCTGTATGTGTTAAACCTACATAGAGACCTTGTTAAGATAATAACTAAATTAAAGAGCAAGGAAGACAGTTAATATTTACAAGGTGGCATAGGCTTCTGAGCAATGTTGTCTTTTATCTCAAATGCTCAGAGGGAAAATCAGTGCTTTAGAAATAATGCCAAACCTTATGCTATGGCTACCAGAATACTCAACATGAGAACACTGTGTGATTGCAGTTTCCTTGTCTGATTAATCCTTTGGAAATTTCCATTGCATTCAGATTTTATCAAGTGGCAGATGCTGCTGTCTTTCCTCCTTTGGAGATTGACTATGATGTGGACAGTGAATAGTAACCTTTCATATAAATGCAGCCCAAGTAAGATTCTCTTCCATTAGAACTGCAGCAATTTTTCTCCTGAAGAGAAACCCTGTCTCTCTAGGCTCTGCCCAGTCTTTCTCAGGGAATGCCTCCAGCTGCTTTGAAGAGGATGTCCCCAAATTCCATGGCTGTTCCTTCTTCCACTGCTCATAGTGAAAGGCAGGGCACAGTGAAACCACTGTACTAGACCACTTCATGGGTAGAAAGAAAGGTTTATTGGGGGTCAAAATGCCAAGGCTATCTCTCCAGGGGCAAAGAGAAGAGCAGGCTGATGGAAGAGCCAGAGATTTTATGCAAGTCATCAGGATGAGATCTTTGAGCTGATATGGGTTGTTAGGATTGACTGGGAATTAAATGCCCTGTGCCCGATGCAGTTGAACCTTGGGGCAAATTAAAAGAGGTTTCTGATAAACAGAGACCCGCCTGTAGGATTGTTCACCCAATAACAATCCTGCTGTTTGTCTGGCCAAAGTCCCTCTGTTTAAGACAGTGTCAACCACCAACACTGCCATTTGAGGGTGCTGCTTTGGATCTAACACAGAGGGGCACGGTTTCTTCAGCATGTGATAGAACCTTGGATAAATTTCTCCCCTCCCACCTCCCCCCCCCAAACAGGGTTTCTCTGTGTAACTTAGGCTCTCCTGGAACTCAATTTGTAGACCAGGCTGGACTTGAACTCACAGAGATCTGCCTGCTTCAGCCTCCTTGAGTGCTTAGGATTAAAGGCATGCGCCACCACTGCCTGGCGGCTCCTGAATTTCTTTTCTTATGGTACATTATCCACCAATTATTAAGGCAGTATGGCTTCCGTTAAAGTATCTTGCTTATTCATATTATAATATATGTGGCAGTTTTATAGACTGTCACCTACATTCTTCATGTTGGTGATGGAGCAGTTATCTGACCGGCTGGGCTAAGCATCACATTATTTATATTCATGAATAACAATAGTCACTGATAATTGACCTCTAACATGTGAGAGTCAGTCCTGTGTACTTTGTGTTTATAGCCTTATTTAATCCTCCTGTCATCCCTGGGTGAGTGACACTGATTACTTCATGGTAGGTGAAAATGTATGCAAATGATTGGCTCACGTCTGTTAATGTCAGCACTCAGGAGGCTGAGGCAGGAGGATTGCCATGAATTTGGAGCCACCCTGAGCTACACTGTGAGACCCTGACTCAAGAAAAAAAAAAAAAAAAAACCCTGGAAAGTAATCTGTTTTCCAGAAAACACATACCAGGTAAGAGATCACAATAGCACATTCACTCCCAACTGCTGATTTTATTTCATCTAACTTCTTTTTAAAGAATTTTAGGTTGGTTTGTCTGTCTGTTTGTGCACACATGCCAAACATGAAACTGTGGAGGTCAGACAACTTTTCAGGAGTCGGTTCTCTACAGAACCATCAGTTCTGGCATCAGACCCAGATCCTCAGACTCGTAAGGCACATACCACGCATGCTCACACATACACACACAGGCTCACACACACACACACACACACACACACACACACATCCTCACACACACACCCTCACACGCACATACATACCCTCACAACTCTCTCACACACATACACACACATAATCCTTCCCTCACACACTTGCACACACACATGCTCACACTCACACACATCCTCATACACATACCCTCACACATCCTTATACACACACAACTTACACACATACTCACACCCTCTTACACTCTCACATACCCTCACACACACACACACACACCCCACACACACACACTCACACATACTCAAACCCTCACACACGTACATCCTCATACACACACACAACTCACACACAGATTCACACCCTCACAGTCTCATACACACTCTCACACACCCGCACACACAACTGCGGAGCCACCTCACCAGCCTGTCTCTTTCTATCATTTCTCAGTCATATAGCCACAGAGTTTGCGTCTTTTAGCTTACAGACACCTCTGAGGTGATTCAGTGCTCTTTAATTGTTTGCTGGATCCCTCCTTTCCTCTCCATGATGACCCTTTTTCTGGTCTCGTTGTTGTTATACAGCTCTCATATGGAGGAAACAATAGCTGTTTATTTCCAGCCCACGTAAGTGCCTATTATTTCACCCTGGTTTTGTAGAGACTCCCAAATTAAAATCTATCATTTATCATCCCTAATACAGAAGAAAAAAATAGTTTCTGTTCTGACAGATTAGGAGAGTATCTGAGTTTTAATCTTTTTACTCCATAAAACCTCAGGCTGGACTTCAGTTATTTTTTTATGAGTTGGTATCAGGACAGTTTCCCTTGTACAGTGCCAATATCTTTAGCTTGGGTTGTTTATTATGAGGAAAGCTAAGTTGATCTGACGTTTTTTATATAGTTGACCCTCCTGCACCTGACTTCATCTAACATTAGCGACTTCACCATAATTCCCTGGTTAGAGCACTCAGAAATGCCGCACTCAATATAAAATACCCTTCTCCTCAAGGGTTTAGGTTCTAGTCTTTAACCAAATAATGTTCGTAGGACTAGCTGTGTAGCTCATCAGAAGAGTATGTGCCTAGCATTCCCAAAGTCCTGACTTCAATCCCTAAACATGGGAAAGACAGAAAGCTAGAGAGAGAGAGACAGAGACAGAGACAGAGAGAATAGCCCATGGTAACTTGAAAACATGTCAGAGGTGCATTTGGGGAATGGAAATGGAGTTCAGTTGAAGGGTTTTGCTTAGCAGGCATGAGACTCTGAGTTGGGTTTCCAAAACCAAGCCCCACCCCATCTTAAAGATCTAAATTAACTTGATTAAACCAACAAAACAGCATCGCTTGGACTAGCCAACCTCAAATGAGTTTAGAACACTTACATTATCCTGCAGTTTGACAGAATCACCTAACACAAAGTCTACATTTTTCAAGTACAGAATATCTTGTATCATTTATTGAAACGCTCAAAATTCTATAAATGGTTTTTACTCCCTGTGAATTCCTTCCATACCATTATAAAGAGCCCGGGACACCACTGAATTCACAGGCCTTTCTCATAGGCTGTGTGTGCTGTAATGCTCGAACAGTACTCTGCCCTGATAGTCCGTCCTCGGTCATTGCTGGGGAGGCTCCACATGCTGGATGCACACTAGCCAGAGCTGTGCTCCTCCAAAAGTAAAGGCTGATACCAATCCCCTCAAGAGAAAGAATGATAATATTGTCACACAGGCTGTTTTATACCTTCAGAGACCTCACTGTTGGTTCCTGCTGGGAAAGCCAACAAGTACAGAATCAAGGAAAAATGGAAGAGACAGCTGGAGTTATGGGTCAGTGGTTGGGAGTACTTTTTGTTCTTGTGGAGGACCTGGGTTTGGTTCCCAGAACCCACATGGTGGCTCATAACCACCTATAACTCCAGTTCCAGGGTATCTGATACCATCTTCTGAACGGTGGGGGCACCAGCCATGCATGTGATACATGCAGGCAAAACACTCATACATGGACAATAAAATAAATAAATCTAAAAAAGAGAATGGAAGTCAACAAAACTGTGAAAATCCACTGGATGGGAAATGAGAACCCAACATTTGTCGTAAAGGTATGGTAACCTTGTCAATCAAGAGTTCCATCATGGACTTGGAGGGATAACTCAGTGGTAGAACATTGCCTCAAATGCAGGAAGCCCTGGGTTTGATCCCTAGCACCACAAAAATTAAAATTAAAAGAGAAAAGACGAAGAAAGAGCAAAGCTGTAACAATTAAAGCTTAAGTCATTTGTGATCATTCCCGATGGATACCAACTGCCCCCAAAAAATGTGCATACAGGCACATCGCACGTACCTGTTTATCCTGTGAGTGTCCTGTTGCTGTCAAGTAATTGACTCAGGTTCAATTCCTAGCAAATACATAGCATCTGACAACTCCAGGGCCAAGGGATCTGGTGCTTTCTTCTGACCAAGCACACACACGATGCACAGATTACGTGCCAGCAAAATACTCATACACTTAAAATAAAATGCAAAAAGAAGAAAGAAAGAAAGAAAGAAAGAGAGAGAGGGAGGGAGGGAGGGAGGGAGGGAGGGAGGGAGGGAGGGAGGAAGGAAGGAAGGAAGGAAGGAAGGAAGGAAGGAAGGAAGGCAAAACAATCACACAAATAAAAATAAGTAACTTTGTTGTTTTTCTGAGACCAGGTTTCTCTGTGTAATAGCCCTGGCTGTCCTGGAACTCGCTCTATAGACCAGACTGGCCTCGAACTCACAGAGATCCACCTGCCTCTATCTCCCTGAGTGCTGAGATTAAAAGCATGAGCCACCACCACCTGGCCAATAAATCTTTTCTTTATTATGATTAAGTCTTTCAGAAAAAGCCAGAGTCTTCATAACCTATTTTTTTTAATCTTTTAAAACAGCTAGTTATTCCCTTCATGTGCCTTGATTGCTACTCTAGCACGGGTTGACGGTGGGGAGGATCTACCTCCTACAATAAGTAAAATCAGAGTCACTTCTTGATTTCAACAAAGAGGCTACATGATCCTGGATTTTAGAGAATTATTCCTGTTGCTCCACTGGGAACTGACTAGCTGAGTATGAAGAGAAGAGCATCTTAAAATAGAGTCTAAAAGTGGGATGACTTCATTAATTCTATATTTGCTTCAATTTCCTTACATCATACTTCCTTCCATCCCGCATGAGTGTGGGAGAGAAAATGTCTGTTGAAAAAGCAAATGCAAGCCAGGCATGGTAGCGCATGCCTTTCATCCCAGCACTCAGGAGCCTGAGGTAGGAGGAGTCTCTGTGAGTTCAGAGTTTCGGGTCATTCAGAGCTACTGTCTTAGTTAGGGTTTCTACTGCTGTGAAGAGACATCATGACCACAGCAACTCTGATAAAGGAAACATTCAATTGAGGTAGCTCACTTACGGTTTCAGGGGTTCAGCCCATTATCATCATGTTGGGGAGCGTGGCAGGATGCAGGCAGACATGGTGCTGTAGCTGTAGCTGAGAGTCCTACATCTTTCAGGCAAGAGGGAATATAAGAGACCTCAAAGCCCGCCTCTGTAGTGACACACTTCCTCCAGCAAAGCCATACCTCCTAATAGTGCCACTCCCTTTGACCTTATGGGGGCCAATTATATTCAAACTACCATAGCTACATAGTGAGACCCTGTCTCAAAAGACAATAAATAATAAATAAATAAATAAATAATACACAAATAAGCAAACAAACAAGTAAATTAAATGGAAAGCAAGTTAAAAGCCTGTTTTCTCAGGCTACAGGTGTGGCTTAATGGGAAAAAAATGCTTGCCTAGAAAAAGCAAACAAATAAATAAATACCTGTTCTCTACCATAACGAAAATAATTGGCTGTCTCTCTAACTGAAATCATCAGTCCTGTGGTTTATTTAGCTAGACACAGCCAAATAAAGGGATAGCATGACCTGTCAACTTATGGATTCCTTCCTTTCTTTAGCAAGTATTTTTTTTTTTGTACTGACTTATCTTTCCGTTACTCTAGCAAATATCTGAGATGGGTCATCTTAAAAAGAAGAAAGGTTAAAAAAAAAAAAGGGAAGAAGAAAGATTGATTTGGGTTCCCAGCTTTGAAGGTCGTTTAGGCCTACCGTGAGGCAACACATCATATAAGGGAGAAACTGCTCACCTTGTGGGTGGGGCATGAGAAAGAGAGAGAGAATAATACCAATATCACCTTTAAGGGTACAGTGCGATAATACCAATATCACCTTTAAGGGTACAGTGCGATAATACCAATATCACCTTTAAGGGTACAGTGCGATAATACCAATATCACCTTTAAGGGTACAGTGCGATAATACCAATATCACCTTTAAGGGTACAGTGCGATAATACCAATATCACCTTTAAGGGTACAGTGCGATAATACCAATATCACCTTTAAGGGCACAAGTGCAATAACACCAGTATCACCTTTAAGGGCACAAGTGCAATAATACCAATATCACCTTTAAGGGCACAAGTGCAATAACACCAATATCACCTTTAAGGGCACACGCGCTGTCGTAGTTAGGGTTACTGTCGCTGTGGCAAAACACCATGACCAGAAGCAGCCTGGGGAGGAAAGGGTGTATTTCACTCACAGTTCCATGTAACAGTTCATCATCAAAAGCAGTGAGGGCTGGCCAGGCGGTGGTGGTGCACACCTTTAATCCCAGCACTTGGGAGGCAGAGGCAGGCGGATCTCTATGAGTTCAAGGCCAGCCTGGTCTACAGAGCGAGTTCCAGGACAGGGCTACACAGAGAAACCCTGTCTTGAAAGAAAAAAAAAAAAAAACAAGGCAGTGAGGGCAGGAACCTGGAGGTGGGAGCTGATGGAAAGGCCATGGAGGGGAGCTGTTTACTGGCTTGCTACTTTGCTGCTTTTCTATAGAACCCAGGACCACCAAGTTCAAGGATGATACAACCCACAATGGGGTGGGTCATCCCCCTCCCCCACCAGTCCCTAATTAAGAAAATGCCCTACAGTCAGATCTTATGGATATATTTTCTCAATTGAAGTTCCTCCCTTTCAGAGAACTCTAGCTTGGTCAAACTGACATAAAACTAGCCAATACACACACACAACCCCTAAAGACCTAAACCCTCCCACTGGGTCCTATTTCTTAAAGTTTTTACTATGTCCCACCAATGCCCCAGGCTAGGACAAAGCCCTAGGCCTTCATGGGGATATTTATCCAAACCTAGCAGGCACCCACTATGAGCCAGTGGTCCGACTGCCCCTAAGGGTTCTACACTGGGAAGGCCTTCTATGCAATGTGTAGACACATTGTGTTCCCCCTTGATTGGCTCTGAAGACTGGAGCTAAGAAACACTGTGGTCCCGTGTAATTGTGAGCTGTGTGGGTGGAGAAAATGAACTGCCTTTTCCTCCAGAGAGCTCCAAGGGCAGGAAGGAAGATAAAAATTGAAGACCCTTCAAGTGCTTCAGAGTAGCGGGAGGAATGGGAGCCTGAAGGGTTGGTTGAAAGGCATCCAAGACAGAACTAGACGTAATCCCAGCTCAGGAAAGCCAGCATCTGGTCAGCCGCTTCCCAGGCCTAGAAAGAAGAATGGGGCTGTTAGACAATGTCTGCCAAGTCACACAGATATTCTTATTAAACCGATCTCACTGTGCTTAGTTGTGGGAAAGCTAATATTCATTGGTTTATGGACAAAAGCAAGTACATTCTGCTTACATGGCAGATGTCAAACATCAATTTCGAGACACAGTTCGTATAAGCATGTATCATCAGAATTGCGGCTTCTAGTATAGATACTGAGATTTAAATTACTCAGAGGAGCTGGGGAAATGGCTCAGCCTTTAGAGCGGTCAGTACTCTCACAGAGGACCTGCGTTCAATTCCTAGCACTCACATGGCAGCTCACCATCTGTAGCTCCATTTCCGAGGGACCCTCTTCTGGCCTCCTTGGGCACCAAGCACACATGTGGTACACAGACATAGGTGCAGACCAAACACCCACACACATAAAATTTTAAAAATAATAATCTTTAAATTTAAAAAAAATGCTTAGAAAATTCTCACAAAGATCCTACAACTGTGTGCTAGATTGCATTTGTAAAGAAAATGTAACCCTCCATCCTCATCATTCCTGCAAATCCTCTGCCAAGTGAAAAAGAAAACCTCCAAGGTTGTCTCAGGGGTGGTGGATAAAGGCCAGGCTGACAGTTCCCAGCACAGGCTTGCTGGAATGCACTGGAATTCTAAGGAAGCCACGTGGTGCTCTGTGAGCTGGGTAGAACTCGTGATCCATGTACATCACTGGATGCTTCATTAGAAGGCCCAGGTCTCCTCTTGAAAAAGGATATATGTTTCTCGGCTCCCATAAATGCATAATTTTGTACCCTTCTAATCATTGACCTGATCCATCTTTGTATAAATCTGACGATGCCCTGTACATGTCACAAACACACAGCAACCTTACAGAAGACGCTTGAATGGTCTCACTTTGACCATCTTAGTCTGCCAATAAAATTTTAGCTTTTTATTTTAGTGGTATATATTTCCCCATCAGCAAGCACAGAGGCAAAATTTCAAAGCTGCAACACAAAATAAAGTTATGTATGAGGAGAGGTTCATGAGATCACTCTTCCTTGAGATCCTCCCAGCAGCTGATGGTTGGGAGAGGAGAGGAAAACACCTTCTTTTTTTCTTCCTAAGTTTCATTTATTGTGTGTATGAGTGTTGACCTCATGCATGCCTGGTGCTCACAGAGGCTAGGAGAAGACACTGGATCCCCTGGAGCTGGAGTTCAGGTGTTATGAGCTTCCATGTGGGTGCTGGGAACCAAACCTGGGCACCCTGCAAGAGCAGCAAGTGCTCTTAACCACTGAGCCATCTCTCCAGACCCTCAAGAGACACCATCTTCAGTACCTATTGCCCATTCTCCCATAATCAGCCCTAATGGAAAAAAAAATAAAGAAATAAAAAGAGAGGAGAGACTAGATGGGAAGAGGAAGGGGATGAGTAAGAGTGGGAGGATGTGAGAGAAGGTATAAAAATGACCAAAATATGTTCTATACAAGTATTAAAAATATCATAATGGAATAGGTGGTAGTTTAAATAAGAATAACCTCCATAGACATAGGCTCATACACTTGAATACTTAGTAACCAGAGTGGCACTATTTGAAAGGATTAGAAGGATTAGGAGGTATAGCCTTGTTGGAAGAAGTGTGTCACGTCACTGGGAGTGGGCTTTGAGGTTTCAAAAGCCCATGTCAATCCCAATCTCTCTCTCTCTCTCTCTCTCTCTCTCTCTCTCTCTCTCTCTCTCTCTTACGATCAGTATGTAAAGCTCTCAGCTACTGCTCCAGCACCTGCCTGCCCCCAGCTATGATAATAAACTAAACCTCTGAAACTGTAAGCAAGCCCCCAATTAAATACTTTCTCTTATAATAGTTGCCTTAGTCATGGTGTCCCTTCTCAGAAATAGAGCAGTGACTAAGACAGAATCCATTATTCTATATA